GGAGGGAGTTGGGACTTCTCTCTGACTGGAGGTAGTGGGTCTCCACTAAACTAACTCCAAAGGGTAGAGTTGTAAAATAAAAACTATGTGTTAAAAAATCTACGTTTCCAGTGTGCGGGATAAATTAACTAACATTTCCCTCCACCGCGTTTTGCCTCTTTTAGCAGTTTTACCTGTAAAATCGAATTACTTTGAGCCGATTGAATGTCCGAGTCCTCCAAGGTTGAACTTCTCTTAGATTTAAGAAATTTCTCGATTTCTATTTCGTCGTTCATACGAGCCAAGTCAGCCGCATCCTTTCCATCCACTTTCAAGTTGACATCAGCGTTGAGTTCAACCAACATTTTTACAACTTGAATGGTTCCATGCATCGCTGCTAAATGCAGTGGAGTGTAACCCTCTCCGTCGCAGGCATTTATATCTGCTTTGTACTTCGTTAGCAGCATATTTACTATCTCGGAACTTGCACTTTTGCAAGCAACATGAACAACATGTTGACCGTTACTTATCGTGTTCAAAACTTATCGTTACTTATCGTGTTCAAAACTGCACTTTAATAAGGTTGTCCACAGATATATACGGGTGCAGGTGCAGATATGGTAATTACATGTATTGTGGTTGGTGGGTGTGAATAACGAGGTGTAAGTGTTTAGGTGCTAATTACAATAGTTGTGCAACACCCTCTCTCTCTTGGAAAGAGGACTGATAAGTAAATGAATAAGTGTACTAATCAATTATAGTTCAGTTTATCTCGCTTGTGAGCCTACATGACATAGTCTTTGAACCTTGACGGCCGTTTGCGGGTCCTTTGTGAACGGCGAAGTCCGCACTCATCTGCACTAGATTGCGTGCTTTCTGATTCCATGTGTGGACGGCGAAGTCCGCCTTCTTCTCGAGGTAGTCTGCTCTCTAGCTCCATTTGCTCAAGGTCAGCTGGTTGTCGTTCCTGCTCCTGTTCAGAGTGTGTGGATGCGATTTCAAGCTGGTCCATCCCGGTGGTGTGTCTTTCAGCTGGCTCCGTTCTAGCCTCTCGGATTTGGGCATGGTTTCGTCTAATAGGTCCCATTGCCGTCTTGATCACGCAGGATCTCGATGTGGGTTCGATAACCTCCCCGTAGATCCATGGCTGAGGCTTGTTTGTTGGTCGCGGTTTGAGAAATACCTTTTCTCCTGGGGCAAATGGTTTCAGTGGGCCTGATGCCCTCTTGTCGTAATGGGCTTTTGATCGGGCTCTCCTTTCTTCGATGTTTCTCATTACAACCTGACCTGATGCGGCCTGTGGGAGTAGCTGGCTTGCTGCTGCTGGGATGATGCCTCGAAGTTTCCGAGACATGAGTCGCTGTGCTGGTGAGTACTGGCATCCCTGTTGTGGCGTGTTTCGATAGGCCAGAAGAGCCAGATATGGGTCCTCAAAGCGGGACTTTTTCAGAATATTTTTCGCAATCTTGACGGCAGATTCGGCTTTGCCGTTTCCTCGACTGTGGTAGGGAGATGATCTAATGCTGGTGAATCCGTATTCACGTGCGAAGCGTGTGCATTCGTGGCTGACAATCTGCGGACCGTTATCTGTCACGCATTCGTCGGGAATGCCGTGACGTGCGAAGTTTCGCTTCAAGGCTCGTATGACTGCAACAGCTGATGTGTTTTTGAAAGGCTCAAGTTTGATATAGTCACTGTAGTCGTCCACAATCACGAGGTAGTTAATGCCATTTAGTTGAAACAGATCTGCACTCACTCTTTCCCATGGCCGAGACGTTATGGCATGTGACTGCATGGGTTCCTGGGGCCGTTCACTTAAGTATTGAGAACACACACCGCATGAGGAGCATGTTTGCCTGAGTGCTGCTTGCATTCCTGGCCAGTACACGGATTCCCGGGCTCTTCGTATACTACTGTCGGCGCCTTGGTGTGCTTTGTGTATCTTCTGTAAGAGCTCGGGTCTGAGTGATGCGAGAACAATGACTTGATGAGATTTGAAAAGCACTCCATCATATACTGAAATCTCGTCTCTGAGTTCCCAGTATGCTCTGATTTCCTCTGGTACTTCACTCTTTTGGCGGGGCCTGCCACCAAGCACCATGTTGTTCGGTGTCATCAGGGATGGGTCTTTCTCAGTTTCCTTTCTGATCTGGTTCATTGTACCGGGTTTGACAAGGTTTGGTGACAGATCCATTTGTGTGAGATTCACACGAAACACATCGTAGTCTTGCGTCATTCTGGAGGGGGACTGGGTTCCACCATTGAGAGGTGCACGAGACAGAGTGTCGGCCACGAAGAGCTCTTTCCCTTTCTTGTACTGTACAGTGAATTGATAGTTCTGAAGTCTCAGCATCATTCTCTGAAGCCTGCGTGGAGCTCTGCTCAGAGGTTTTTTGAAAATTGTCTCCAGAGGCTGATGATCAGAGTGGACCGTTATGTCTCGCTTTCCATAAAGGTAATGATGCCATTTCTCCATACAGGACACAATTGCCAAGCACTCTTTCTCGATATGAGCATAATTCTTTTCTGTAGCGCTGAGGGTGTGTGACGTGAAGCAGACAGGATGGCCCTCCTGAAGTAAGACCCCACCTATGGCACTGTCAGATGCGTCTACTTGAAGAGTCACAGGAAGGCTGACGTCATAATAGCGTAATACTGTTGTGGAGGCTATGAGAGTCTTGGCTGAGTTGAATGCCGCCTCATGGACTTCTGACCAAAGGAATTCAGTGTCGTCCCTAGTTAGTTCCCTCAATGGAAGGAC